ACTTTCTAAACTCAAAGTTGATAAATATTGATTGTTATCACAATGGTATTGCCATATTAGAACAATGGCAGTTTGATTGTAATATAATTGAAATTTTATAGAAATCCAACAAAGGTATCAAGCATGACAATAAGCATTATGGTTTATTTTTAGTAAAAACTGTAATAAACTTGGGATTTTGTTGTGAATTGGGGATGGGAATAGAATGAAAAATGGTCAAGAGAAAATTAATGTAGGAAAATTTTAAGAAACAAGCCATGCATGACACAGTCCCCGTTAGTTATCAAATTTAAGATATATAGTTTTGGTCCTAGTAATATAGTTGGAACATAAACAGAAATATGGATCCAGAAGATTATGCTTGATTATGATTATTTTTTAACATTAAAATGATTAACATCTTGTATCTGATCGTCAAACGAGTACTTGTCCATATTGAGAAATAACAGCATTAATAAAAACAAAATGGCCACCAGTCGGGCATTTTGAATACATCTATATATCTATAACATGATGTATAACGAATAAATAAAATTTGAACATAATCGGACAAAGCATATCACAGCATATCAAAGCATATCATATCTAGGAGCACATTCATTTAAACAAAATGGCCGCCAGTCAGCCATTTTGAATCTAATCTGAAAAATAAAATGATGTGCATCAGGAACCAATAATCTCTAATGTATGTACCAAGTTTGAACAAAATCAATCCATAAACACCAAGATCCAGTTCTCGAATGCCAGAAATGCTTGATTTTTGATGATTTTTTTAGCACAAAAATGGCTGCCATTTGGCCATTTTGAATCAGATAGTCAAACAAATTGATGTGCATATGTATAATATTATGTATGATGTATGTGTTAAGTTTGATTGTGATTGATCCAGGCATGTCTAAGATACGCACAAAGGTCAATCCATAAGTCCCGTGGCATTGACACTGACAGCAGTCCCACTGGTACTGGTACTCAAACTGTTTCAAAATTGATTGCGGGTTACCAAATTAGGCAATTACAGTCAGACCAGCTGTCAGCACAAGACAAATGAAGAATAAAGCTAAATGATAGGCTTTATCAGAACAACTGTTTGTTGTGATAGGTGCATGATCATCATTATGGTTTGAAAGCTTCACAACCAATCAAATTAACATGTAGAAATACATAATAAGAATTTTTCTCAGCAATTGCACTAAAGCGTATACAAGTACAACTTACTTGATGTACAACTTACCTACAATTGCATTATTTCCACCTAATTCAAGAATGAATTTACCAAACCTTTCTTGAACTGCAACTCCTACTTTTTGTCCCACCTGTATAATAGGAATTCAAACAAGAAAGTCATCTTTATTACAAGCACCGGTTGAACATCTATATCAATAGTGTAATGTGTTCCAGGTATGATAGTTATGCTTTTTTTAAATGGGGTCACATGACCATATATGGCCATTAAATATGTTGATAAGAGCTAGTGTGCAAGGTCTTCTAATCACTGGTTGAATGTTTATCTGCAATAGTGCTCAAGATTTTATTTATAATATGCATTTTCAATAAAGTCACATGACCATACAATGTATATAATTATCAAATATGTTGAGATTACTCTGAATGGGGACTAAAAAGTTAATTAGAATTTCACAGAAATATATACCTGAATCTTGGTGTCTTAGAGGACTCTTGTATTGTTCAAACACAATTTAAGAATTGTGTGAACCCTAAGTTTGAATAAAATTGGTCCAGGCATGCAGAGAAATTTTGTTTTGTTTTATGTTTTTTTTATTATACCTCATGACCATGA